CGATGGTCGTCATGGTGAGGATTGTTAGGGTGTTTGTGCTGCTGCTGGTGGTAGTGGGTGTAGTACTAGCGGTTGTAATGTTGGTGGTAGTGTTAGTAGTGGCAGTGTTGAGAGGAGTGGTTGGTGTTGCTGTGAGAGTGGTGATGTTGGCAGTGGTTGCGCTGGTAGTGGTATCTTTGCTTGTGGTGGTGTTGATGGGGGTATTGGTAGTAATGGTGGTGGTGCTGGTTATAGTAACTTTGTTGGTAGCAGTAGAAGTGGTCTTGATCGTGGTTATGTTGGTAGCGATGGCAGGAGCGGTTGCCAGAATGTTGGACAGTAGCCGTGTTGGTATCGTGGTGGTAGTCTGTGGTGGTATTGGGTAATGTTGTTGGCATTGACACACTGCGCAATGTCCCAGGCTATCAAGAACTCTTTAATAACGCACCATGTCTGGCTATGCGACCCCCAAATGCAGCAGAACTTGGGTCTGTGGTTGTTATTGGGGCGCTGGAAAAAGTGGTGAACATTACACGACACCAGCCACAGAACGCACAGCGAAAGCGCATGCGTTACGGTTTTCTGTTGCGGCGGTCGGCCAAAAACACATTGCGTATTGCAGGGTTTTTTTTTATTGTGCTTCAGGGGCAAGAGGAGGTGTGCTGTGTGAATGGAGGCTTCATTTCTTATTTCATTCACGATTTTTTTTTTAGGTCAGCAAAGCGTTAACTCGTAGCAATATTTCCCAAGCACAGCTTTAAGGAACCGCATCATCCCCTGCCAAGCACCCTAATTGTTCTTTTTGATGCAGTGCCGGGAATATTTGTCCGTGTGAACGGGAGCAGTGATGGCCAGCTCCGCAGGACCAAGGCACGCCAATCCGTAAGGCATGCCAGGTAAGGCCCGCTGAGGTATACAGCTCTTTTTCAGAAGCAACTTGGCCACAAATGATAGATCAACGAAGTTGCTTATCGTGTGGAAATGTATAGCAGGCAAATGCTAGAAACGCATGTGGAGGGAAAAACCAGAGGAGCCGGAGAAAAATCCACGTAACCATGGAGAGAGACACGCAAACTCCATATATGCAGGCGTCAGGATCAGGATCGAACCCACAACCTCCTGCATACCAGGTAAGGTAGTTAACATCTCGCCACCGTGGCGCCCATCAATGGGGAGCCAACGGGAGAAATGGAAGTGTAGGAGCCCCAGAATGAAAGCTATTCGTCCTGCATTCCGTGGTAACTGCTGCGTCCCCTTCTGTGGAAATGTCGCGTTTTCAAGAACCATGCTGTGAAAAGTGCAAGTAGGCATTCTTGGTGTGGCGGGAAGCGCCGTCTTATACAGGGACAGTTCGACCACTTGGGAGAGGGCAGGGGGAGGGGGGCACAACTTCGCCAGTGTCAAACGATCGCAAAACAAATGTTGAACGCTAAGCAGAATGAGTAACGTTGCAATCCGCTTGCGGCTGTCGTGCGTTCTGCTCTGGCTCTCACCGCCGTGTGTGTGAAGAAAGGCTGCGATGCCCATCGCTTAATTGTCCTCAATTTTTGTACCAAATTTGCAGAACTGAATGTAACAATTAGAGGAGAGGCTGGAGGGGAGGTGGCCTGAACTTTCAGCAGGGTAGTGGAAGAAGGTGGCTGTTCTCCCGCGCTCATGCCCCCTACGCCCCGAAGCAGCACAGATGATACCGTGCATGAGCAGTGGGTCAGAGTATTTTTAGCCACCACGCACTGTACGTCTCTGGCTAATCGACAGACGCCGGCCAACTCTGACCACACCACCGCCACCACTACCACCGCCACGTTCTCTCGCCACGTTGTGCCCCTGTCGCCGGCGCTGCTGCGACAGCTGCTACAGCTGCTAGTGTTGCAACGAACGCTCGTCTTGCAAGCAGTGAGAAACCAGGGCAAACGTAAAACACCGCAGGCTTCCATCCCGTGGGCGCGAGAGAAACAGAAAAGTATAGACTCGATCTCCAGGGGTCAGAGGATCATTCATCAACAAAGGTGACATGTCCAGTTGAGAACTACCTCTTGCAAGTAAGCTGCCTTTTCTCAAGCACTAATTGACCCCCAATAGGGTCATTAAAACCAGTGACCTTTCGCCAGCTCCATTCTAGACCCCTCTTCTTGGTACAACTTTTTTTATTTCATCCCTGATGAATATTAATTTGCACAATTTCTACGTTTGTGCAGAACACACAAGCTGCTGCTGCTGCTGTTGCACCAGCGGAGAGAAAAAGATTTGAGGACTGCAATGTCACTGAAAGGGAGGGGGCGTGCAGTGGAGGGGGGGGGGGGGCAAGGTCAAGGTGCAGCCCTGCAATTGCCGGCTCACGCCACTGCTGCCGGAAGGGCCTCCACTAGCGGGAGCTTAAGGGTACCCCCCCCCCTCTAGATAGTATTTGGCCTACTCTTCCCCACTGGACAGACGTCTTGAACCCCTTTTATACTGCTCGGTGGACAGAGATGGAGTTGGGGGGGGGGGGGTGGATTTCAAGTAGAAAAAACTTTTCCCCATTGCTTCAACTGCCCCACCGGGAGATTGAATATGAGCGAGCGATCGCCAAGTCCTGCGTTGCTGACCGTTGCTTCCACGGTGGCGATTCTCGACTTGTTAGCAGCAGCAGCAGCAGCCGCAGCAGCAGCAGCATAACGGCTGCGTGCTCTCGCAGCTTTCGGCATCGTTACGAATTGAGTCAGCGCCGCCCGAGCGACGACGACCGCTTCCTTCCCAGCGCTGCGGCCGCGTTTTTTTTCCGTCCACGCGCGCACGCGTTGGGAAACGCACGATGCCGCGTGGCGTTGAAAAACCCTTGGGCCCCAGACGGAGCTGAGCTCAGCCACGGCGTGTGAACACGAAGGAGTCTGCGGTCCCCACGCCGCGTCTGTAAACACTCGGGCGCTGTACCCCCACCACCCCCCCCGCGCTTGACCCCGCGTCTTGCACAGCGCCACGAGCGAAGGGCTCGCTCGCTCACTCACGTACCCGCGCACGCACGGACTCACGCACGCACTCGCACACGGATGCACTCGCTCGCACACACGCACGCTCGCTCACGCATGCACTCACCCACGCACGCGCTCGCACGCAGGCAGGCAAGGCAGGCATGCCCGCCAACTCGCAATTCCAAAATATTTCTCGCAAACAATTGCATAATATATTTCGTCTACCCCGCCCCCCGCCAGCCCTCCCACCTTGCTCAACGCGGCATATGTGGCTGCTTCTTGCAAAATTATTCACAGCCCATAAGTAAATAAATAAATTCTTCAATGATTGCACTAAAAAGCAAAGTTATTCCGGTGAAACGAAGCTTTTATTAGAGTGATGAGGTGCAGGCTATGTATGCTTAGTGCAGGCAGTTTCATCAAAAAAAAGGTAAAGCTACCCAAACCACTGCTACCACAAGAACCTCTACTCGAGGGCAGCTTGGAGACAGCCCCTCCAAGAGATTATTTTAAGCCAGACGTCTTGGAAGGTGTTGGAGTACCCCACTACTTTCCCCACACGACACACGACCCCGCCTATCAACTATAACTGGGCTTGTACCCGGCAATCGGCAAGATTTTTTTTTACGATTTAAAGCAACCGTTGTTTACCACTGCAGCGCCGCGAGATCGAATCGAACCGGTGACCTCCGGGCTGCCAAGTCCAGTGCGCTGCTGACCGTTACACCGCAGGGCAGCAATGCGCCAGTTTAATGTTACGCCCTATTAATTGGACAAACGCTGTCTGTCTCTTTTTTTCGCTTCTCTGGTTTTTCGATGGCGTATGTGCTGTTTTAGATTAGAGCAATAGAGTGTGTGGTAGTGCCCTCATCCCGCTTACATGCATGCGACTTTTGAAAGGTCACCGCAAAAACAGCACAGTTTACATAACCCCCCCCCCCCCCCACATCATAAGTACTAATTGCAGAAAGATTTTTTTTTTACTCCCGAAAAGGGGTATCGGCGGCTCCTTAATCAGCTGCTTTTCAACCCGAGCCTTAGTGGACACGACTGCTCAGCAAAATACAAATTCGTAACGCGGAGGGGGTCAGTGCCTGGTTTCCTGAGCAAGGTGCCGTATTCAAGGATTTTCTAAAATTTTTTGCGGAGGTGGACACGCGCCCACGCCAATGCGCCTGGTCCCGAACGCAAGTCTAAGGTTGCGAGTCTGGCTCACGCCACGAGACGGGAGATCACGGATTAGAGGACGCAGCAGGAACGTGGCTTACCCCAGAGTTTACCGGGAGGTGAACCGAAAGGTTTACCGCACCTCAGCCACCGCGTGCAGCGCCTGAACACGGCTCGTGAGAGACACGCGGCGGTCGGACCAGCACCAAGTAAGCCGTCAATTCACCGCGCAGTTTAATCGTCAAAGTCCAATTTCGCCGCAGTTTCATTTCCCCTAAAATCTACAAGTGTAAAGCCACTGGAGTTGGCAAAAATACATGAAGTACAGCATGAAGTAAAAATTCATTGGGGGATTTATTAAATTTTTTCCTGTAAAATTGGACCAAGCAGAAGCTTGATTTTTATTTCATTATTAAAAATCGCATTGGATGGATAAGGGGGCATAGCCAGGAAATGTGTAACAGGGTTTGACTTTCCGAGATGTAGGAGCTCGGATGCGTTCTGACGCATCCTGGGGAGCACAAGGCCACATTGCCACTCGTGGACACATGGCGATGAAATACAAAAATTACACACTTGCAAAAAATCGAATCACTTTCTGACAGCATTCAATGACAGGCCCTGCATGAAAAAAACCCCAATATATTTTCAATTTCCCCAACGGTTACTTGGTCATTTATTTTGTCAAAGAAAACACAAAAATGCAGTTGAAAAAATAAATCATTTTTCGAAGGAAACTGATTTGTGAATAATGCCATTCAGCTAACTCGGGGGGGGGGGGGGAGGGGGGGGGCACCTACAACAGATGGGAGGCTGGCGGTGGCCATGCCAATCTCTAGTTCAGCCGCAGGTCGAGCGCGCGCCAGAAGTGGAACACGCGCGAGCCCCGGAGGAGCCGCCTACCTTGCGCAGCCAGTGCGTGTTGTTCTCCATCGCCACCTCCAGCTGCTGCAGGCGCTGCAGCGCCCAGTCGGGCTCTGCGGCGGGGGGCGGGGGCGCGTCGCGCTGCAGGGCGTTGCCGCTGTGCGGCGGCGACGGGAAGGGGGGGCCGCCCCCCGCCACCGGGGCCGCCCTGCAGCCGGAGCCGTCCGCCGCCGCCCCTAGCTCGGGCAGCAGGAAGGTGTAGGTGCACGCGCCGTGCTGAAGCCGGTGGTAGCGCCGGCCCGAGGCGTCCACGCCTCCCGACGGGGAGGAGGCCGAGCCGACGGAGCGGCCGGCGCCGGCACCGCCGCGTGCCGAGGAGGCCCCCGCGCCACCCTGGGCCCGCGCTCGGCACGCGCTCATCCCCAACAGCAGCAGCAGGCAGCAGCTGGACAGCCGCCCCCCGTCCGGCACGGCCATGTGTCCTCGTCGTGCCCTCCCGGCGGAGGAGGCCGTCCGGACGCCCGGCGTCGGGGCAGCGAACGCTCGGCGGAGAATCCAAAAATAACGAGAGCTCGTGGAGCTACGCGGAGTACTGCTGCTGCTGCCCAGAGCCCTGGGTCTTTGATACGAGAGAGCTGGCAGATCCGAGATTGTGATATTGGTCTGGTTAATTTACTGCAGTTTGTGATAGCCTCAACTCGATGGGTTTGCTGTAAAAAAATCCCATTAACTCTAAAAGCACTTTTTTATTATCTTACAAACAGAGATTTATAGGAACTGATTTATAGTTACATGTTTTTTTATGTTTGTAAATTGCTAAATGAGTAACATTTATATCTTCAAACGTCACCGCAGGAGTTTATTTTTTAGCGGTCCTCAATATTTATTTACAGTGCGCAAACTCCGCAAAACAGTTTTAAATCAAAACCAAAAATTTCAAACATTTTGCAGACCCTCCAAAAAAAACGGTTTTTTATTTTTGTCGCAAAGCAGACACCGCAATTCAGAGGTCGTTTACAACAGCAGACTCTACCTTTTCTGCAAAAAACGCCGTCAGCCCGATCCCCGTGTTGCGCACTGCAGCTCGCAAGCCCTGCATCTGGAAAGCGACTCCCAACCCGGCCACACTCTCTCTCTCTCCCTCTCGCTCCCTCTCTCTCTTTCACTTGTTGCTCAGCCCTCGCTGCCAGAATTAAATACCGGTCCCCCAGCCCAGTTTTGGTTGAATGAGATCCAAGACATGCGGCCTGGAGCTCTGAAAGGCACAGATCGCACTGATTTCCAAATTGGCCCGCCTTGCGCTTCAAACTCTGTCAATCGGCCGCGTCGGGCAGCCCAATCGAGGGGCACGCTCTGGAAGGTGGTAGGAGGCGGAGTTGGGTGGGTGGGGGGGCCCTATGGCCGTGCCCGTCTAATCGGCAGTTGGGACGATGCGGAGGGAGGTGTTACGACACAGGGGTATGGACTCTAGATTTTACTTGGCTTCCTCTTAACACAGCTCCCCTGAAGACACGTGCAGTCTGGTGGATGACTTCAGCTAGGTATGGTAAGGCAGCCCAGTTATATATATGTGTCTGTGTATATATAAGTCAGACCGGTTATAAAATCCATAGCCGTGCCAGGTGGCCAGAATATTTTAAAAGCACCACCACAAGCTCTCCATAGTCAACAGCTCAAGGGGCACCTGGTGCCAAACAGGACCTTTAAACAACTTTTACTTTTTTCAGTTAAAAATTCTCACTGAGGCCGTGTCAAGACCTAAAAGCCAATATCGTTCTACTTATTATTTTTGTCCAAATGTACGAATAAGCAGGCGGGGGCGGGGATCACTTCTGTAGAGGACCAAAAATGTAACTAGCACGAGTCAATATATTATCGGGTTACTTAGTTGCAAGTCGAATGTTGTTTGAAGGGAAGGTGGGTGAGGGGAAGAGGAAAAAATGAATCGGCTGGAAGAGCCCGTAACTTTGTTCTGTGTAAAACAAGTTTTAAAAATGTGTTTGCACATCTGACCACAACTCTTTACAATTTACATCACGGAACTGACTTGACGACACTGTGTTATTAGTTTATTTCAGCATCCCTTTGAATAACGTACACAAATACTGCCGTGAATGTTTACAAAAATGGCAATATTTACAAAACAGACAAGCAAGTATATCTACAACCCTTTGTCAATCAACTGCTGGATGAAGGCCTCACCACGCGTTTCGTTCACGGGGGTCATTTCACCATATTTCACCACAATGGTGAAGGATGGTTATCTGCAGTGACTGCGCCGGAGCGGTAGTTTTCCCAATGCGTTGAGTTTCATTCCTTGCCACTGCTAAGCGTCGGTGGCTAACATCGGTGGCGAGTGACATCTGTTAGCCATGGCAGGGAATCAAACTTGCGTTACCAGGTTCATAGCTCGGTGCATTCACTACTAAGCAAGTAAACGGAAAAATAAGTGCTTTAAAACAGCCAAAGTTATTGTTATGGCAGATATATTTTTCTTATATCTCTGTTACCAGGATGTAACTTTTATAGTGGTGTTAGCTCTGTACATCGCATCCTGGGTCGGTCACAATATAATTTTTGATTTGCGAGTGCAAAGTGAGCCAGTTTAAAGGGGAGTCAGTATTTATGAGCGAGATGTCTGGCCTGCAGCTTTGGACCTCGTTGGTGCGGACACGCACCCAAAAAAAACCACACCAACACAGCACCACCTGGTGGCAACTCCGCCGTGATTCACTCGCTCTCTTGTCTTGCATTTGAAAAGCGAATGGCAAAACAACTGTGCGTTGAGTCTGGTCATCCTTTCGATGCCATTGGAAGCTTGTACCTCCTCCATGTAAGCGAGTGCATTAGTGTATTTGTTAATGGGCAGTGCTCCGGTTGACGCGATTGGCCACGTACGGTGCGAAAGAAGTTCAACATACGGTACATGCGTATCAACAGATTGCACTTCAACCGCATTCGCAGGAGACAAAGAAACGCAACACATTTGTGAATAACACCGTGTGTGTGGCCTTCAAATGAAAAGTACGTAGCAGGCGACGTTTAGAGCAACGGCCGCTACCTCGCAGCACGTCCACAATAGGACGACTGTCACCGTTCATTTGTGAGGGAAATGTGCCGAGCCTGTTGTGCGTTGCTCGAACTTGATTGGACGCAGCTCCGTTGTCTTCTACGAAGGCTGAAGCCAAGCTCATCCCTGCGGCGGATCTTCCAGTCAGTTCCTTGTGCTGGTGATTGTCTTGGTGGAATCATTAAGCGAGGAGTGATACAACACACTGCGCGTCCCCAGAATTAATAATTCTAACCGTAGCGCGCCCCCATTTAACCGTCGTGAATATTATTTAAAGGATAGTACATCAACTTGATTTTGTAAAGATGTGTATCGAAATAAATGTATCTGGGCTTTATATTCTTGGTTATTTCGGTAAAGACACGTAGAAGGGAAACAAAATAAAAATATAAAACAATAAAATATTTATTATTTTATTGTTTCCCTTCTACGTGACTTTACCGAAAGAACCAAGAATATGAATCCCTGCAGTCATGAAAGCTTTAAATCAAAATTTATCTGGGCTTTGCTACGAACGCCACTGAAAACAGCTTGATAGTTTCATTACAATTAAAATGACAAAATTATACTCACATACTACGCAAGGAGGCAACACTTTCCCAGACGTAATGCATAACTTATTGAGCTTTTTTTTACGTATTGTGTTTTAAATAATCTCACCGTTTATTTTTGCACCTCGTTTTATTTTCACAAATTGTCATTCACATATTTGCTTTGAGAAATACCCGTGGAAATAATAGGCAGAAACGTGGAGGAGAATAATCTAAATCCCCTTCCCAGGGACGGAGTGCAATATTCGGTCAAAGCCACAAAAAGCCACAAAAAAAGTCAACTTTTCGAAAGCCCTAATCTGCCGGGGCTCCAGGCGAGCGCCGTATTTTATCTGTGGTCCTCAATTCCAAACACTGCAACGTCTCCTGTGTCCGTGTGGGGGGAGCACCAGCGAGACATTTTCCTTGGATGACAAAGGCAACATTGAACGCGATACTCATCGTCCACATCCTGCCCAATCGTAATTATGCAACGGCATCAAGCGGTCGACGAGCGATTTAGCGCGATTCATGCCTTGCAGCTACGCAAACACAAATAGAACCTCCGCCGCTGAGCGGTCCCGGTCATATGTCGACACCTCAGAAATGCACTGGCATCACTTACAAAGCATGTGTCCGCAACACAAAGACATCATCGCAGAACGCACCGAGACAAATTGATGGACGATGCCGTGGTGTAATGGTTGGCCGGTTCGATTTCATCTCTTAGCGCGGCAGTTAAAACAAAAGGGTGTGTTTTAACTTGAATTTCACTCGCCTCTGTCCAGCCAGCAGGATGAATGGGGTTCGTCGTGAGAACTCCCGCCTCTTCCAGGATGTCTAGCCAGCATCGAAGAGTAGGCCGAATACCCTCAGGAGGGGGCTTTCTGGAATTTATTCCCGTGGAGGCCCTTCCACTAGAATTGCCATGGTCAAGTAATTGCAGAGCTGCACCGTTTACATTTTAGGCATCCGACTGAGCTTCATAGTTATCATTTCAGAAGCAACCTGGCCACAAATGATAGCTCAAAGAAGTGTCTTATCATCACGTGGACATTTTTAGCAGCCAAACTCTTTAAAAGCACGTTTCTAAATGTGGAGTGAAAACCCGGAGGACCCGGAGAAAAATCCACGCCACCACGGGGAAAACACAAACTCCATATATACAGGCATCAAGATCCAAATCGAACCCGCGATCTCCTGCATACCAGGCGAGGGAGCTAACATTTGCATGGTGCTCATCCTCTCCGACGATGCCTCTCCTCTGGATGGCGCACCACCGCTCGGCATCAACCGCAGCCTCCCGTCCCTTCTATCGACGTGTCCTGCACAACCCCACTTTCTATTTTTTAAGTCAACATTGTAATTTTACTCTCATTTGTATATGTGCTGTAATCCGTGTGCTCCTCATTCTCTCAGTGTAAGGGGGGGGGGGGGGTTTGTCAGATTCCATATTTCCGACCCATGGCATAGTGGCCAAGAGGTAAAATGTTATACTAAGATTCAATAGCATGGAAGAATCCTTGTTGTGTCACTAGTGCTCCATGTACGATAAAACACGAGCAATTAAGCTGCAATAACTTTTTTTTATTTTAATTAAATATCTGACCTGAAACAATGAATATACTTACAGAGACTCCTCTACTTACAGAGGTCTGGTCGTAAGTCGATTTATTCACAAGTCCAAACTTTTCTCCCATCGATTCCAAACATGTTGTACGGAATGTACACTAAACACAGAGAATGGCTATTAAAAGTTGCATAATCTGTAGATGTAGATGCCACTGGTTCTTCACGTTCTGCAGATGTAGATGTCACTACCACCACCACCATCTATTGTGCGGCGGTTGAACTTACGACTCTTGGTTCGAACGGGCAACTGGACATACGGAGAGTTTTGTTGTATCTCTGAATGTTCGTGAGTAGAATGTTCGTAAGTAGAGAGAACAATTCACCCTACAGCGCTACGATGGATTGCCACAATTTCGAATCACAATTTTGTTCAAAAGTCAATAATTTTTCATCTGTTTTCACCATCTCGTTTGTGTTGCAAACGAAATGGTAAAAAAAAATTACTGCATATTTTTTTCCATAAAATGTGCATTTACATATGTCATGACGATGCAGTGTTGTAGAGGCCTTCATCCAGCAATGACCATGGCTGCTAGTGATGATAACGTGTCTACGTAATTAATTATCATGCACAATTCGACGCGTGCATCGTGAATCCAAGAATCGATTTAAGTCGCTGAATTCACGCAATGTTAAATGCCTAATACCGAGGTGACACGCGTACAATACAAATACTGTCCTTAAGTCAGCCTCTGTAAGCTTGAGTAATTCCATCAAACTCAAGACAGCTGATAGATATGAATTAGGCATACGTTCCTGTTCTTTGGATTCATCCAAAATATCGGAATATTGGGCCTAGATACGAATTTCTGACGATCCGAATTTAGTTTTTTGGAATTTATCCGGAAATATGACGTCACACAAAGTGCCACGTGTCCGTGTTTTCCCGCTAAAGGTGGCTGCCACGTGGCATCCGTTAATGTCGTGTCTGTTAGCACGACTATGCATCAAGCTATTGCGTCGTATAAATTTACCTCAAATGTGAAAATGTATCTGCAAATGTGTCCTTGAAAACATAAGAATTCTGAAATCCTAATATTTTAAATATAAAACTTGCCCCAAATATGAATTCCCTAGGAGACAGAACTTAATTTGAAG